GGGGGGGGGGGTGAGTACGTGTGTGTGTGTATGTGTGTGTATGTGTGTGTGTGTGGTGTGTATGTGAGTGAGTGAGTGTACGTGTTTATATCTGTATGGGTGTGTGTGTCTAGAGGTGTGTAGATGTGTGTTAAAAGGGAGTATGCGAGAGTGTGTTTGTGTGTGTGTGTGTGTGTGCGTGCGTGTGTGTGTGTGTGTGTGTGTGTGCGTGTGTGTGTGTGTGTGTGCATTTATGTGTGTTAGCGCAAACAAACTGCGCAAAGGCAAAAGAACGACGGTCTGAAGATGCATTCAGCTCACAGTAATGTTCCCCACATCGAGCGCTGAAGCGTCCATTGTTTGGGCATTGAGACCGTAGATCAAGTGTCATCGGAGACAACAGTTTGTGGAGTCATTAACGGGTAGCATCTGCTGTGTGCCAGTCGTTGGTCGTTATGTGAAAGGTCAAAGAGAGGTCTTTATATTGTGGGATAGTAGCATCAAAAAGAAAAGAAAAGTTAAGTAGCAAACCTGTTCGTTCATATTTTCCGAAGGTTGGAGCATTCGATTAGAGCTGTCTGAACAGTTAGGGTGCATAGCTTGTGTGAACAAAGATCTACACTTGTACACCAAAACATAAACTATGAAAACAATTATCTTAAGAACAGGTTTTCTGTAAGCGAATTTGGTGAGATGAATGACTAGACTAAATGGACTACGAGACACTGTGTTGTGTCTGGCCAACCAATGTGGAGACCTGTCGTCTTATCTTAGACAGACTTTACAATCGGAGAAAAGGTCGGCCGTTTACTCCTATCATACCACACCAGAGACCACTTGTAAAGACACTGTTAAGCCCTGGTTACAGATCAGAAACCCGTGCGCAAACATACTCAATCTAGAGCTGGTTCTACAGAGACGCGACTCGTGCGCCTGTGTTTTCCGCGCAGAGGTTTTGGCGACCTGTAAACACCATTGTATTTGGGTTAAAGTTCCCTGTGTGCTGTGCTGGCCCTTCGTTTCTGTGTATTCTTTATCTACTTTCTTTCGTTGTGCAGCGAACACACGGTATATATTTAGCCTCTGGTTTGCCAGGTTCGCGACCTTTGGCCTTTAACCTGTATCTTTCCCACTGTGTTCTATAGGCTAGTGTAAACCGGCCTGCCCGTTGGAACATGACTGTGTAAAATGAACGCTTCGCTTCACTCGTGTAGTGTAGTGTTCCCTATACAAGTGTTCGCCTTCAAGTTTCGCACTAGCGATTTATAATGTATTTATTGTTGTGTACTCGACAATAACAGCAGGAGAGATGCGGTTAGCACATAGATCCAGTGTGTGTATGAACCCCGACGTGGATATTTCTGTATATATATCTCTGCATGCTAGTGTTATAACGCTCGGTTCGTTCTTGGGCGAAAGAAGCCAGAAGCAAATTAGCAAGACAGTGTTTCTCAGAAAAGCATCGGTATGTGTTGTCTTTGGAGTCCCACCACGTTCTGAAACCAATGTAGAGTCGACTGTGGTGTATGTGTATTCTGTCTCAACATGGATGTAATTAGCATAAAAGTGTTTTCAGGATTTCTTTTTTTCGCTTTGGTCATACTCTTTGGTTGGACACCCTTTTGTCTGCTGAGAAGATGCTCTTCTTCCATGTCCGAGAGCAGAGTGTCTCCAAGAAAGAAGCTACCTTTAGTACATTCCCTACATTCGATGGCGTCCGGTGTTCTCATAGCAACCTGTCTCCTCAGTCTGCTCCCAGAGGCGATAGAGGCCATGCACAAAGCTTTAGGGAGCAGTCACACACTGCAGGGAAGACAAGCAGCCCCACCAGCCGTAGGCCCAACTGATAGTGAAAATGGTACTCATCCTTTCAACGGTTCCTCCAGTATGATGGACAATATTCGTGGGCATCATGTTGATGGGGCAGAAACAGTTGAGGATAAAGGGACCTACCCTCTAGCCGAACTGCTGATTGGTCTTGGATTTCTAAGTATTTATATACTGGACAGTTGTGTAAAAACAGTGCAAAGTTCGTGGGGAGGAAAAGATAGAAGAAGTGGTACTGCTCCTGGAGATGAGATAGTTCTATTTCAAAGAAAGAAGGAGAGTTTTGACTCTGAGGAGAACGCCAATTCCATCAAATGGAAAACTTCTCCTTTTAGTGCCGCAGAAAGCTCTAGTCCTTCTAAAGAGAACAGTCGAAAAAGATCAAATCCCACGAGCAAAAGACATAGGTGGTTTAAGCCGAAATTTTTAACGCAGAAATTTTCCAACGACTTCGAGCCTCAGTTACAAACACTTTCAGACGACATGAACACTCAGCTGTTAAACGATGACGTATCTCAAGTGTCTGGTGGAGATGAAAGCAACAGGAATATGTGGTCCAAGTCGGAGTCGGCTGAAGAGCACCCTCTGGCGGAGAGACAAGCTCATGAGGCAAACAGATCTGTCCATCTCCGGTCTGCAGCTCTCGTTGGAGCTCTGTGTGTGCACGGTTTTTTCGATGGTCTTCTGTTGGGCCTTCAGACTTCAGTGCATGTTCTCCTTTCCTTACTCCTCGCCTTGTCTGTCCATAAGAGTTTTGTGTCTCTGAGTCTGTCTCTGACTCTGTTCAACCACCACAACAAAGACTCTAAGGTGTCAAAGGTGTTTTTGTACATATTTCTTTTCGCCTTAGTCGCTCCTATGGGACTAATTATGAGCGCTAGTTTCGTCCACAATACCTTCACTAACTCCGGGGATGGTAGTGGGGATTCGTCTGGTGTGTTACCAGGTTGTCTGCAGGCGTTTGCCGTGGGGACATTCATGTACGTGGCTTTCTCGGAGACCGTTGAGCAGCACCAACAGCATGGGAGGTCTCTGGTGAGTCAGCTTGTGAATCACGTGTTCCTCCTGGTTGGCTTTAGCGGAATGGCGGGGCTCAGAGCAGCCCTAGGGGAAGTGTGAAGTGGAGACATTACATTACATGATGTATCACGCCCTGAACAGACCGAGACGTATTACGTACGTGCACGTTTTGCGTAAGAGTGAGTGAATGAAAGAGAGAGAGAGAGAGAGAGAGAGAAAGAGTGTGTGTGTGTGTGTGTGTGTGTGTGTGTGTGTGTGTGTGCGTGTGTGTGTGTATGTGTGACAGCAGAACTAAGCATGTTGGAGTAATTTGAGAAAGGGGGGGGGGGCAGGGGAGAGGAGGTCATTATACTTTTTCCAATAATTTAATTGGAACATTGATATTATGACCGTACGTGTGAGTGGAGTTAGAGAAATTATGTAATTCACTATTCTTTAATTATTATCTTCCCAGCAGTCAAGTATTTTTGTAACTGTGGCAAGTTTAACACGCCACTTTAACTAAAGAGAATGTACACATGTAGTTATTTTGCTTTCAGTTTCAGCAAGCGCTGCAGCGGACTTCGTCCAGAACGAACTCTCGGAGTGATTTTCAAATAACGTATTAAATTAATATCTTGGCCTAATGTATAAAATTATATTATGAAATGTATGCTTACCCTTTTTAATAATCCTCTGACTGGGAGTGAAAGATGGGGGTAATTATCACTAAAATATAGAGTATTATACGTGCGTGTATGTGTATGTGTGTGTGTGTGTGTGCGTGTGCGTGCGCGCGCGCGCGTGTGTGTGCGTGTGTGTGTGTGTGTGTGTGTGTGTATAATAATATA